AGATTTGTACCTACTAAAGGCTGTAAAGAAACCAAAGATTTAATTTGAGATTCTCTACCCTCCACCCCCAACCAAGGGAAAAGGCATGCTGTTCTCCAGCTATGCAAATTTGTTTTCTTTTGCACAGTGGGTAAATACTAAGTAACAGTTTGAGATAGATGATTAATTTACCAGAGATTTAGGGGAAGCTATGTATGGCTGGGAAACCAAACCCTGTGAACGCAGCCCTGTGCCACACTTTCACTGGGGTCAGTTAAATTAGAGCAGGGCAAAACTGGACGGCAAATCTGTTTTGGGAGGCAGTTCCTCCCTGTGTGTTAAACAGAACAAGTATTCACCAGACACAGAAGACTGTTATCAAGATGTTTTACACTTAAATTGTTTGTTGGGTTTTTTTTTTCTGTCTGTATGGTTAGCAAAGGGAAGCAATGATGAGAAACAAAATTTTGCAACTGGTAGAGCTCATCCCCTCACATCACCTTTCTATCAGAAATGGGAAAACCCGAGTGTGACTCCAGCTTCTAGGCAACTTCTCAAGTCAAAATGAATTAGTCAAAAGCTTACAGAACAGTTTATTCTCTTGACACCTGCAAAAGCTCACAAGTTGCCTCATTTCATACTGACCAGGTATTCCCCCACTGCAGCAGTTCGACTCTTGAAAGTTTCACCAGCAAATTCCTAACTCAAGTTAACAGATTCTAGTAGCTTTAGGCCTTTATTTAAAAATGTGGTTGGTTTAAGGAAATGGATTTAAAACAAGAAATTACAATATTAAATAAAGAAAAAAAAATTCAGATGCACTGAAGTCCATTACCTGTTACCACCTTGATCTAAATACCATTGTTCAACGGTGGCTGTCCAAGGAGGTGAGATTTCCATGGGTTTTGCCCACAAAGACAAACTACATTTGGAATTGCCCTACTGACGGGTGGATGCTGCCAAGCCCCAAGGACCTTGTCAAGGGAGGACTCTTAGACATGGCTTAGGCCCTGCCTCAAGTGCTGATCTCTGCCTGCAGCCTGCCAAGGCACCTTCCATGCTGGGAACTCCAGAGACAGCTGACGGACCTTCACGCAGAGCGGATTTCAACACATATTATACGACAATAATGTTATGAGCAGTTACTAGCCCCAACTTCTAAACGTGACCTAGTTGTCTCTCACCTGAGGGTCCAGGAAAGCTCTGCAGGGAGCCTGTTGAATCATGGCCACAGCGTGCCCACGGGAGGCAGAGGGGAGCGACACAGCCCAGATCACAGAACAAGTCTCTGGCAAAGGATTTGGAAACAAACCCCGCCCTGCCCGACTCCCAGGCTGGCGCTGAAGCCACCAGGCACACCTGGCTCCGAGAAAACCACTACGGACAAATCTGTGCGTTGCATCTGCCCCACTCCTGGTTTAGAGCAAATAACTCATAACCAACTCTGTCTGAGTGTCCAGACTCACTCCTCCCAGTCACTGAATCCCCCAGTCACTTGCCCTGACTGTCCTGTGTCCGTGCCCAGGACACGCCTTGGGAAAACCATCACCAATATAGTGAAATGCAGCAAATCCCCTTCTGCCTCCAGGCTCAGCGCCACAGGAATGACCCCAGAACTGTGGCCAGAGGGAAAAGAAATGACACATGAATAAACATTGCATAACACCCATTCCCTAAAAGACTCAAAATCAAGAGGAAAAAAAATAGACTTCCCTGCACATCTCTCTGTCTCCACCCTGTGCCTGCCTGGACAGGAGGGCCCCAGCACAAGCACAGAAGAAAACGCAGAAGTAAATAACTTCCTCTCCTCCAGCAACACTCTCAAGGCACAAAACTTATCTAGAAATGACATCTAAAGAAAAGAACATGCTGTAGATGAGTAAGAGGCAGAAGCAGAGCACCATCAGCCGCACTAAGAATCGATCCAGGAACAATCGGTACGCCAGGCAAGCGTGCCGACGCAGAAGTGAGAAGGCTTTGCTGTACAGCAAAATGGAAACTTTGGGGGCCTGCAGGCTGGGGCAGAGCGAGCAACCCCAGCTCTGGTCGCACAGAGTCAGGGTTTCAAGGTGCATTTAAACCCGCAGACTGCCACCTCCACATTTACACCAACACAGGAACGCATGTGCATTTTCACTCCAGCAGGAAGAGTGCCTCAGCATGGACTTGTGATGAATGAGCGTTTTTGACGCACGCTATTAACCTCCATACATGTAACATTTTCTAATGGATGCAGCTGCAACACCATAGTGGTCACCCGGGAGCGCTCTCTTCCCAGTACGGTGCCTGTGCTTTGGGGAAACTTGTTGCGTTAAATGATCAGGCTCGAGAAGAATAAAAAGCTTGCGAGCAGCTTGGCTATCCTGCAAGGCAGTGCAGCCTGTGAGGTTATTTTACAAAAGAAAAACCCCAAAACCACCATCAACAACAAAAACCCAAAACCGAGCAAGAAGTCAACTGAGACGGGAAAGCCTCTGTCAAAGCTCTGCACACAAAAGGCTGAAAGCTTTGAAAGCCGCTGGAGGCAAAGGTGACACAGAAAGAGGCACCTGCCTGGGGTGTCCCTTCCTGGAGCAGCCTGGGCTGAGCTCTTCCAGGCGCCAGGGCAGGCTCCACCCCAGAGATAACACCACTGCGCTTTGCTTCTCGAGGCTTTGTCTCCGTACAAAGGTGCCCGGTGTTACTCGGGCCAGCAGACAGCACAGCGAGCCCATGGGTAGCTCGGCTGCAGATAAGGACATTTATACAAAGAGACTCGCTCTCGAGACAAGCACCTTTACAGCCCTGGTGCAACACTCGCAGCAAAATAATTGCTGGCTCCCCAGGGACTGAACTGTCCCAGCCAGAGATGCAGGTGCAAACCAGCCCCCCCAGTCCACCCCCCGAGGCCAGGACACCCACCAGGCTGGCACCAGCGGCCGTGACAGAGCCGTGGGCCTGCATCCCTTGTGCTCCCTGCATCCCTCCTGCTCAGGAAAGCAAAGGGGGCCAGGCTGGAATCTCCTCCCCACCCCCAAAGCAGGAGGCTGAGGCCACGGCTCCACACACAGGCTTCCTGTTCCTCGGCTCCCCCCACACATTCTGTACCAGCGCTGGCACCACGCTGGGCCCCGTCTGATGAAGGCTGCTTTACCCAAAGCAAACATCCCTGCAAATTCGCCTTCCCCCCAACTCCCTCCTTGCCCGGGCCCTCTTCTCCAGCTCTGCTCCCTCAACACCGCAGTCTCCAATAGCATCCCCAGCTCCCTTCTCCTGCCCCAGGCCTCCACACTGCCTGAGCACCAACCCCCCCCGCAAGCCCTGCTCTCCCCTCCAATTCTGTCCGACTTTGCTCCCTCATCCCCCAGGCCTTCGCTCTGCCCAAGCTCTGACCAACTCCACCACTCCCAGCTCGGTCACCCCCTCCCAGCCCTCTCACCCCCCGGCCCCCGTCCTGGCCCAGCTCTGCCCTCCTCGCTCCCCAGGCCCCCATCCTCCCCCAGTGCCACCCCCCATCG